ATTCTTCGGCATCTCCAGCACCGACCCGACAAACCGTCTGCGTAACAACCGAGTTCCTGTAAATAAGGTTCTTTAAGATGACATTTGTGTCGTTGATACTGCGGTATCTAGTAACAACATTTTCCAGGTTCTTGGAATACCAAGGCGACGTCCTGAAATTCTCGATGTTAAAGGAGTCTAAATTATCCCTAATAAATCTCAGTCGATGGAAATAATTGGGATAAAATCCTGAAAACATAAAAAAATAGTTAAGTCTTAATTTAAAGAGAAATAAATAACAGATATGTCGTTTTGAAATATCACATGGTCAAGACACACCAATTCATAAGGATTTATTTTAATAATCAAAGCTGGTTTTTGTATTGTTTGCATAAGAATATTTTTGTTTTGTTTTGAAGAAGCCAACAAACCTTTTGGTTGATTTTTTTCTCCATTATTTTCTACACCATGATGCCCTTGTAACATTTTATCCGCCATTATTCTGTAATATAATATAATTATTCTTACACGTTCCTCATGATTGTAATATGTTTTTTATAATGAATTCGTTTTATAAATCATTTTTTCCTTTAAGCTTTTTCATTAAGAATTTTGAAAATGACGTCATTCTTCTGTTCTTGATAGGAGCGCACGTCCATAATATAAACAATCTTTTACAGACATTTAATAATGATGGATCCTTAGTTTATTTCATATTTTACACAATTAACCTGGTTTGAATCTTAATTTTTTATCTAAATTGATAAGAAACTATTGCGAATCAATTCACGTTTTTCCTCACGGAATCGGCGTCGGGGATAGTTGGTGTTTGATATTGTATCGATGTATCGATCTAATAAACATAGAGAAAAATCTGAAAATTTTGAAAGTGTTTATAATATGAAAGACTTACCTATGAAGACAATTTATAGTAAAATCTTCTAAATCTTTAAGATGTTAAGAAGGTTTTAATCTCAGAAAAATCGACGTGCGGCTTTCCAGTAGCGATATCCACAGGAAATATAATTGTTATGACGTCATCCAATTGTATTGCGTTGAAACAATAGGCTAACGTCATGAAATTTCGGGATAATTTTCAAGAACATATAAAATTCAGCAAATCTATATTTATGGGATTTTACTCAGTGATAAACAAAACAGATGGATAAATAATTAAATTGGCCTGTGTGTCCACGGAGGCAGTTTTTGACGGCATGTACATACTATACACAAACACAGGCACCTTTAACGTGGAAAATATCTTTCAATGTTAAACTGTGACCAAGTGAGCGAGATTATAACTGGTCTGAATTCTATGCAGGGGCAAACAACTCGTCTTAAAACGATCAATATCAATGCTAATAATACTTTTATTACCGTTTTAGTAGGCTACAGTTTAATATTGAAAAAGATTCTCCACGTTACCGGCGCATGTGCACACAAACACAAAATAAGAGTACCATAATAATATCGAGATTACTCCGTAATTTAAATAAAGATTGTGTTAGTAGAAAACAAGCAATAACATAATTATTACACATAAAATACGTCCGCAACAAAAAGATCGAAAAGAAAAAAATGTTCTTGTATAATTAAAAAAAAAAAATCTTACTACATTTAAAAGATTAGGATATTACCGCTAATGAAATGGGGTTTAAACCTCCTACTTTTCTGCTCCAATCCGGGCTAATGAAGACTGCATGATGATGTCCGAAAAAAAAAAATGGCGCGCGTAAAGCAGATTACTCTAAAGTGACGATAGAATAAAATTAAACCACATGTTAGTCCCAAAATGACCTAGTTTGTGTCGGGTGGACGTTACCCCCCCCCCTCTCTCTCTCTTATCTGTCATTGAGTCAACTGGCGTGGTTTCGATTCCCCAGTTGTATGTGACAAGGAGTAGGGTTGCCTGTCAACCCCCGGGTCCTCCGGTTTCCTCCCACGGCTAAAGACCCCTACGCGCAAGCAAATTATTGAAATTAAATTGAACCATATGTTAGGCCCAAAATAACCTAGTTTGTATCGAGTGGACGTTAAACCCCATCTCTCTCTCTCTCTCTCTCAATTTCAGCACTCCGTCCAACCATCAACCAGACGAAGAGCCGACGCGGTTCCCCCTTGTCAGTGATGCAGGACGGAGGACCTGACAAGGACAGCTGTCTAGTGGTTCGGATGGGACGATAAGCCGAGGTCCCGTGTACACTTTGGCGTGCACGTAAAAGATCCATTGACAGTTGGAATTCCATATAATAGTAGGCCGTAGTGCCGCTGTTCGGGCAAAATTTCCCTCATAGGACACTGTATGGCGTATGCCCGTCTTCATAAGCCCAGTTCGGAGCAGAACAGTAGGATGTTAAACCCCATTTCACTTCCAGACGAAGAGCGAGTCAACACAAGGTACAATTTTATGGATACACAATTACTGAGTTTAATACTAAGCGACGTTTCGAGGAGGATATGGAATTCTATATCAAAATAGACTGTAGCACTGCTGTCCCGTCCAAATTTCCCTCAAAGCACACGGGAGTATCCTCGTCGAAACGTCGCTTAGTATTAAACTCAGTAATTGTGTATCCATAAAATTGTACCTTGTGTTAATATGTTCAATTACTAAATGCCAATCAAAGAAGAAGAGCGAGTCGTTTATATCAATATAATGATCCCGACCAGGTGCGCAATCACCAAATGAGCACGCAGTGGCGACACCAAACGACTTCATAATGATGGTTGCTAGGCAGAAGTGTAAAAATTCTAAATTCTTTAATGGCATCAAAGAAGAAGACGTTTTTCTTCTAAATAATAGAAATAAGATGAAATAGAATTAAAATTTACACTCAACAAATAAAGAAGTTGGCTTAAACATCGTCTTAATTTAAAAGTTACATTCGAATAGAAGTTAGAAATTTCATGAATAGAAGTTAAAAATTACATGAATAGAAGTTAAAAATTACATGAACAGAAGTTAGAAATTAGACGATAGCACAATTAGAATTTTGAATCTAATATACCGCCATATGGGTTGGCTCGGTTTATTAATTTTCATTTCATTTCACTTAATCTCATTTATAATTATGTGCTTCACCATGTTTCCTCATTCTTGAGTGATCTAGTCTTTTTTATCATAGCGGCACTAGAACGGACTCATCAACCTTATGCGGTCGGTAATCTGCTTTTGCTCCGACTGGTTAACCGTCCCGAATTGTTGGACTGGTATCCTATCATTTGCTAATTACTTTCGCTTTGAAAATCAAAGTAATGTTTTGACAAAATCGGTTAATTTTGATCTCGCACTGCACTGAAATAGACGGGAAGCCTACCACTAAGAAGAGGACATTTTTTAAGATAGCAAACATGATTTTTTTTACCCAAGATATACGTCCGAATCCACCAAATGGCATTGAATTTTCAAAGTTTTCTGGAGGAATGAACTTCAATTTGGACAGTTTACGTCTTTCACCAAACTTAATTAATTAGACATTATAATAAATACATTAAAAGTTGATATAAATCAGTTCATATACATTCATATAATTATGTGAATTTAGCACCACTTGCGTCTATTTTAAAGGAGGCAAGTCGCTAACTCAATATCATCCACAGTCTTTGACTTTGCAAACACGACTTATTGGTCAATTTAAATCAACATTGATGCTGTTATCTTACAGCGAAAAGACAGAATGAAAATTTTAAAATTGGCACATGAATCGCTTGCTATGATGCTTACCAGTGCCATTTGTATTGAGGCGACTAGATGAATAGCCAGACGCCAAGGACTGCCATTCAAGTTGTACTCTTCACGCATTTCCCCAAACATAACTGATTAGAAATTACAGTAAAACAGATACGATTAAATGTAAATCAGTTTATATACATTCATATTACATTATTATGTGTGTTGCGACCCATTTATTTGTGTCCATTTCTAGGTGCCAAAGAATAAGGGGATTTAGCTCTTTTAAGATACCAACGAATAGAGCGATACGCCATTTAAATCAGTAATGCATCTATCCCTGGGGGGATACTATTACAATGCTGAATTTCTGAAATAAAAATGAGAAGGTTAAAGATGCATTACGTAAGGACTAAATCGGCCTATTGCAGGACTTTATTTTTGCTTTAAATATTATAATTTATAAACTATTATGTAGACATTTATGCATATGCCAAAGCCTGTAAAAAAAACTCTTGAGATGGTGGAGATAAAACAGATTAAAACACAATTGCCATTTAATTATTTAATTTAAAAATGGCGAATCGAGGTTAAATCTCGAATAACAAGTACTCTTTACGATAAAGAATCAAACAATATATGCTACGTCTTGTCAACATTTTACACAGTGCGATTAACTCAGAATAAAACAATTTGAATGCCACTTTCTATCTTTTCATTTGCATGATCTATTTCTGAACTATTAGAGCAAGAAGGGCCAGTCCTTTATCTAAATCTCCATGATCTCTACTGGTTGCCTGTACACAGGCGTACTGAATTCAAAAGTCTCACTTTCACTTAAAAATATCTCAACCAGCTAGCACCACCTTATCTGTCTGATCTTTTAACACAGATAGTTCCACAGAGGCGGACCCGCCCTTCAGCTGAAATCCTTCCTATTGAGCCAGCGTGACCGTTCCTCCAAGCGTGCCTTCGCTATCTGTCCCTCGACTAAGGCACCCTCTCCCCTGTTCTATTCTCAATGCCTCCTCCCTGGACTCCTTCAAAACACCTAAAACACATCTTTTCCGACAGCACTATACACTGAATGGTTCACTTACATTAGTATTGCTTTTATTTTATACTTTGTTTTTATGTCCTATTAAATGTTTTTGTACTACGCATTGAGATTTTTTTTTAATGATGTAATGCGTATAATAAGAAATAAATATTATTATTATCATTATAATGCATCTTTAAGTAGTAGTGGTGGCTCCATAGTCCAGCCGTGAACTTTATTGCTTTCCCACCAAACGGATCAGTTTGAATAACGGGAAGATCCTAGGTAAACCATGGCAATTACCTTAATAAATTATAAATAATACGTGTACTTACTCGGTTGTAGAGTCAATCTGACTGGACCATTGTACAAACTTTTTAAATTACTGCAATCAGAAAATCTTGACATCACCCAACGAATACTGTTATCGGATGACTTCTGATTCTTCACTGTCATCTATATACATGTACAAAAAGCAACACGAGAAAAATAAAATTATTTACCTAAATGATTAACCATATTAGACCTGCGAGGAAGAGCACGAAGACTGCAACACCCACAACAACGAGCAAACACGGGACCATACACTGACAAGTGGCTGGACATATATGCGAATAGAAAACTATTGTCTGTCTTCTTGTAATTTTTCACGTAGACCCAAGACATCTATTAACAGATTGCTCACCATTGATTATTATTGTGTTGAGGGGTGTCATGATTTGCATCATCCTCGGTATCCCCAGTGGTCTCATTCCGTTCTACTCCACTATACCCAAGTTCATCCTTGGGGTATTCACCTATTCAAAATATCGGCCCTTGGTCGTAGCTTGAAATATCTACAAACCAACCAAAAAGAGTTTACAAACCAGTCTTAGCCCCATTGCTTACACCCAGAACAATATGGGGCCTTGTTTGCTGCAAAAAGATGAGAGTTATTTCCCTTCAACAATTTCATTTGTACATGTATTTAACGATTATTTTGACTGGTCGATAAAAATAGTAGTCTCTATCATCCAAAAATATTCCACGAATATTAGTCTGGATGCGTTGTCAACATTTGACAAAAATTGGCTAGATAATCCGGTCTATTACATTGTCATAAACAACGTCTAAGGGAGGTAACTCCTTTTAAAACAAGATGTTGAGGCCCATGAAATTAGTTTAAGAATGTCATTTCAAAAAATCCATTTGATTGCATGCGAGTTCAATAGCTAACACTCTTAATTTTTTATTGTAAAATTTCTCTCTTCATGGGCCATATCTATGCTTTGAAAATTAATCCTAATTCGTCGTCACGATTCATGTTTGTTTATATTAATGCAAGAATTATGGGATTTATTGTGGGAAGGGGCGCAACTCTTACTTGACTTGGCTAAAGAGACAGGATAATCAACCACATTAAAAACCAAACCCCCGGTTACGCATGGGCAATGAACTTTACGTCAAATATTGACAACCTTCCCAGGGCCCGACAGCTGTCTAGTCGTTCGGTTGGGGCCAAAAACCGAGGCCCAGTGTACACATTGACAGTTGGAATTCGATATAAGAGTAGGACGTAGTGCCGTTGCCCGGGCCAAATTCCCCTCATAGCAGACTGTATGGCGTATGCCCGTCTTCATTAGCCCAGTTCGCAGCAGATTAGTAAGACGTTAAACCCCATTTCATTTCATTTTGCATTTTCCAGACATCTTATTTTTCACAGCTTGATCCACACTGAAATGTACCCAAATTGATGTTTTTAAATTGAAATAATTCTTTGATAATTTCTACTAACCAAACATTTAAATCTTTCTCTTCGGTCCTTTTCTACTGTATCAGCAATAGCAGCGTAGGTGTAGCCAGTTGAACCAACCATAGCAAACCAACTTCCCATACACTGGTATCTTATTTCTAAAAATACACAAAACACAAATAAACAAACCAACTTCCCATACACTGATATCTTATAGCTACCAATGCACAAAACATAAGTACACAAACCAACGTCCCACACACTGATATCCTATAGCTATAAATACACAGAACACAAATTGTAAAAAATAAAATACTTATTTTGAACTGCTGACATATGCATTTTGCACATTGAAATAATATTGGCAACGTTATCCTCCCATACAAATAAGCGTACAGGTAAAGGAACCATTGGAAGATGGAATTCGAAATAAAAGTTGGCCATAGAGCCACTGTCGAGGTAATATTTTCCCCATGGCACACCATATTCAATCCCTGTAAATAGCTAACGCCATAGCAATTGCCATATTATTTTTGAAAGCCCTCAGAGTTATTATTATTATTATTATTATTTATAAGCGTTTATATAGCGCCATTTCCACAAAAGTGCTCAATGACGCTTTACAATAAAGATAACATGATTGAGAAAACAAATATAAGATTAAAACAAAAGTGAATAATATATACATAAAAGTTGAGTAAAAGGAAGTAATGCATAGAATATAGATATAATTATCACAGAGATAACTAATTAAAAACCCTTTTAAACAAGTGGTTTTTTAGAGAAATCTTAAACGATGACAGAGAAGTACATGACCGAATGGAATGGGAAAGTTTATTCCATAGTTTGGGGGCAACTACCTCAAAAACCTTCTCGCCGAAACTGACGAGATTAGCTTTTTTCTCAATAAGGAGCAGATTGTCACCGGAAGACCGTAATTGTCGACGAGGTTCATAAAAACATAAAAGATTACTAAGATAAATAGGTGCCATGTTATTTATACATTTAAAAACTAACAATAAAATCTTATATTCAATTCTAAAAATAATAGGAAGCCAGTGTAGTTTATATAGAATAGGTGTAATATGATCTCTATACACTGTTCCAGAAATAAGGCGAGCAGCTGAGTTTTGTAATTTTTGCAGTTTTTCAAGATGTTTGAGGGGTGCACCGTACAGGACAGAATTAAAAGAATCAATATGCGAAGTGACTAATGAATTTATTAGTGTTTTTGTGGCATCCACTGACAGATATTTAGCTAGATGAAATAATAATCCATGATGTCTTACTATGAGGCCAAGTGGTTTAGTGTATAGACTAAACAAGATCGGCGAAGTGACTAATGAATTTATTAGTGTTTTTGTGGCATCCACTGACAGATATTTAGCTAGATGAAATAATAATCCATGATGTCTTACTATGAGGCCAAGTGGTTTAGTGTATAGACTAAACAAGATCGGCCCGAGGACGGAACCTTGTGGTACACTAGAAGCCAGAAAAGAAGGGCTAGAAGATATTCCTTTCACTACAACACTTTGTAGTGACATAAGAGCGTAACAGTAACACCAAAATCAGATTGTAGCCTGTGAAGCAAGATATCGTGGTCTACAGTGTCATAAGCCGCGGATAAATCTAAGAGAACTAGAAGCACACATTTACGGTGATCTAAACTCATGTTGATATCATTATGTACCCGAACAATAGCGGTCTCGGTGCTATGAAACTTCCTGTAAGCACTCTGAAACTCTTCCATTAGATTATTGTCACTGATACGGGATGTGAGTTGGCTTGCTATTACGCGTTCTAAGGTTTTAGATAGGAAACTCAGGTTAGATACTGGTCTGTAATTTTTCTCCAGATTCTGATCTAAGTTGAATTTCTTAATTAGTGGGAAGATGATTGCGGTTTTGAAATCGTCAGGAACAGTGTTTTCACAAATACAAGTGTTTATAATGTCAGTCATAATAGGTACAATGGTTGGTAGGCATTCTTTTAATAATATTGTCGGGAGGGGGTCAAGTGAACATGATTTTGAGGAAGACTGATTTATAACTTTAGCCACTTCGGACACAGACACGTGTTGGAAATGAGAGAGAGTTGGAACTTCAGAAGACAAATTCTTATGATAGACATGTCCGCTGATCTCAGTAACCAATCCTTCACGAATCTTTACAATCTTATGAGAAAAGTAAACAGAGAATTTATCTGCGAGTTCCTGTACAGGCACAGTTTCTGGAAGCTTAGTGGCGCCATAGTACTGTTAGTAATGACTATCCAGAATGCTTACTTACTATGATCCGTGGAGGTCGGGACATTAGGGCATTTAGCATACTTCATGAGAAATACTTCGTTGTCTCGGTAAGGTGAACCAGGATTTTTACAAGCTTCGATAGTACTGTCTGGATTATTACAGATACCACCGGCACCCATGTTCTGCATGTTCTGTTCATACGTGAACTGATAAACACCATCAAACGTTGAAATACAATTCACTGTTTGAATAGTTTGTCCTGAAATTAAACGGATATCATTTGGATTAATAAATTTACATGTAAGAATATTAAGAAACAAATGTATGTTGTCTTGAGTATAATAATATGTTATCCCTGAAATTAAGCGGATATTGAGATCAAGAGAGAGAGAGGGATAGTGAGAAAGATAGAGTGTCCTCTTTGAAACCTTGCAGTTAATAAACCTAGTAATTGTTATCCATAAAGCTGTCTGTTATTATTACAGATGTATATGTAAGAATATTATCTTAAGAAACAAATGTATTTTCTGGGTCCTACTAATCACCGAAAAGAGCGTTCTTTAGCCAAATAGCGAGCTTATATAATTATTTCGACATAACGAAAGGCTAATTCTTTAAAACGAAATATTAATTCTTTAAAACGAAATATTAATTCGTTAAAACGAAATATTAATTCGTTAAAACGAAATATTAATTCGTTAAAAGAAATATTAATTCGTTAAAAAGAAATATTAATTCGTTAAAACGAAATATTAATTCGTTAAAACGAAATATTAATAAAACGTTGGCTCGCTAACCTAGATGTCCCGGCTTCGACCACAGTGTTGGCCGAGATAGTTCACGGGGATTTTCCGGCGTGGTTCCCTCTTGTCAGTGGTGCATGTAATAGGGTCTAGCAAGGGATAGGGTATAATCTTTCGGATGGGGTAGGGGTGCGAGGTCCCGTTTACACATTGGCGTACAGGTAAAAGAACTCTTTCAGGTAGGAATTCGAAATAAAAGTCGGTCGTGGGGTCGCTGTCTGATACGATTAAAAACGCATAGACAATGAATGTTAGGGGGGTTGGGTTTAGGCCCAACGGGAATCAACATAGGCCCCGACCCGAAATTAATTAGGCCCACGCCGCCCCAGCCTTGGTGGAGCTTAATCCGCCACTGAACGGGTCACCCTACCAATGGCATACGGAACTCATACACAGTGTGACGGAGCCACCATGCACGTTGAATAACAACTGTAAAGCCATATAGAGTACTTACTGAATAATGTTACAAGTTGATCGACCTCAGGAAGTTGATCTTTACCTGGACACATATTAATACCTCCATTATTTGTAAAGCAATCACCTGAAAAAAAACCCACCTGATTAAAGTCCCATTGTCTCATTACGCTATTTATGTGTAATCGGGATCCATCGCAAACTAAAATAGCGAGAAGGTTGAATCTCTGCAAGTATATCGGTGCTAAAGTGTATCAATTCTGTTCAGTATTTACAATGATATGCCGAATTGAAACTTCATTAGTATACTATTTTCTAAAGCAGCCACGGTGGCTAAGTGAGTAAGGCGCTAGCTCGCTAGACTTGAGGTCGCGGGTTCGCTCCGTTGTTGGTAGGAGGGCCTGCCAAGGACATGTGTCTAGACGTTTGGATAGGACGGAAAACCGAGGTCCCGTGTATACATTCGCGTGCATGTAAAAGATCTCTTGCCAGTTGGAATTCGATATAAGAGTAGGCCATAGCTGAATTGAAACTTCATTAATATACTTGTTTCTAAAGCAGCCACGGTGGCTAAGTAAGTAAGACGCTAGCTCGCTAGCCTTGAGGTCGCGGGTTCACTCCGGTGTTGGTAGGAGGGCCTGCCAAGGCCAGCTGTCAAGTCGTTTGGATGGGACGAAAAACCGAGGTCCCGTGTATATATTCGCGTGCATATAAAACTTGCCAGTTTAAATTCGATATAAGAGTAGGTCATAGCGCCGCTGTCCGGGCAAAATCGCCCTCAAAGCACACTGTATGGCGTAAGCCCGTCTTCATTAGCACGGTCGGAGCAGAACAGTAGGTCGTTAAACACTATTTCATTTCATTTCATTTAATTTTCTAACACAGTTCTAATCCTTTCACATTTGTCATACACACAAATAGTAAATAAACAGCTTCAATTCTATTAAGATAATTCTAAAAATTAGCGATTTATACATAATGTTTTCGGATAAAATCGTCTTTGAAGGCGCCACAATGTCGCTCAACATGCTGTGTGTCTGTTCCCCAGCTAGACTAATTGAAGGTAAAAACATAAGTTTAGTATGATAAAAGAATGTATATTTGTAGTTGAAACTCAGTGTGTCATTGACACTCCAAGACGCGTGTTGTGGGTAACATAACTTGTAACTAGGTAATGAAAGTACTTCTAGGAAATTCCGTTAGTGCTTAAACATATGTTTCGACACTGAAATTGCTAAAATCCTATATTTCAGAAGAAATCATTTTGAATGGTGACATAAAATGAGTTTATGTACATTGGGTCCAGAGAACATAATGAAATACGACGACTGGCTGAAATTGGGTTGAAACAAACATTTGCCACCAACAATAGGTCGAGAGATGGATGGGGTTTCTTATCTAACAAGGCTGGCTGAAAAGTTCTAAGCCTGAAAAGGATATATCAATTGGCGATGACCCGCGTCCCGGAAGGCCATCAACAGCAACCATTCAAGAAAACATTACCCGGATGCATTCCATGGGGATGGCTGATCGACGATTGACTACTACACATATTGTTTGTGTTGTGGGCATGAGAGGGTTAAGCACATTGTCGCCAACGAGTTAGGAATTACAAAAGTTTCTGCAAGATGGTGCCAAAGCTCTTGACTGCAGATAAGAATCGTGTCAGATTTCTGAGGTCATGTGACAATCAGCGCTGTTTTGAAGCAGATCCTAATAATTCTTGGGCCAGATTTGTAACCATGGAAGAGACCTGGATTCATCACTTTCAAACAGAATCCAAAATTCAGTCTAGAGAATGGAATCAGCCTCCCAAAACGTCAAGTCGGTTACCTTTGCTGGGCAAGTTATAGCTCCAGTCTTTCGGGATTTAAAAGGTATTCTGCTGATTGACTATCTCGAAGAAGGCCAGGCTATCACGATAGTATGCTGACATACCGAGAAAGTTGCGTGAAGCTATCAAAGCTAAACGACGGGAAATGCTCATGAAAGACATCTTGTTCCACCAAATTAATGCCCCTGTTCATAAATCAGTGATTATCATGTCAGCGATCCATGATTGTGGCTTCGAACTCATGGACCATCCACCTTACTCACTCGATCTGGCCCCTCAAACTTCCACCTGTTTCGAAAAAAGAACTAGCCGGTCGCCATTTTCCTAGTAATAATGACGTCATGTTAGCTGTGAACGACTTTTTTCGGGTGGCAAAAGTGTGTACACCTTGAAGGGAACTATGTAGAAAAATAAATGGAAACCATCGACTTTGAACAGATATTTCCTAGATAGCTTAGAACTCTTCATCCAGCCCTCGTACATGCTTAATTTCATTCATTGGTCAAAAAGTAAACGATTCTATGAAAATATCGACCTAAGCAACCTATATGAAAAGTTAATTTCAGTCCCTATGCAAATTACCCGAATGAAAATAATTATGATGGTTGATTTAGTTTGAGCAGCCATTTTGACAGAACTGATGACAGAACTGTCAAAGTTTGCGGGGGAAAAAGGTCAAGGTTCGTTTCGCGCAATTGCAGTTATCCGTACTGAAACCGTGCTCAGACCGGATAGCGTTTACACTTGGCCGTGATAACCGTGTCGTTCTGGGCACGGTACCAGGCCGCGATAAATTTCAAGAAATTGACCCGTTTACATTACTCTAAAATAACCGGTCTCGGAACCGTGTCAATCACGCCGAATGTGGAACTCTTCACAGAAAAGTTAATTTCAGTCGCTATGCAAATTACCCGGATGAAAACAATTATGAAGGTTGATTTAGTTTGAGCAGTCATTTTGACAGAACTGAAGACAGTTTGCGGGGGGGGGGGGGGTCAAGGTTCGTTTCGCGCATGCGCAGTGATCCGTACTGAAACCGTGCTCAGACCGGATAGCATTTACACTACGAAAATTTAAAGCGAGCCGTTCTTGGTACCGTGTTCAGACCACCTCATTTCAGTTGGCCAGACTGGCACCGTACCTGGTACGGCAGGCTTACGTTTGACCCGTCTACACTACAAAAAAAAAACAAAGCGTGCCGTACCTGGTACGCTTAAAATTTTTAATGTAAACGGGGTTCATGTGTCCCTGAATAAGACCCTCCATCCCTGTCTCCTAGTTTGCCTAACTGTAAATGGGTACAATAAGACAGGTTGTAGCCTATGCATCTTACGCCATCTTCATTGGCACAGCCGGTGCAGAAAAGAAGGACGTTAAACACCATTCCATTTCGTATGCAAATACACACATCATGCTGCGGCGACTAGAGCGATATAAAACTTTAAACATCAAGCTTTACGACATCTGTTTAAAATGCAGGTCTATATTTCGCTTCGTGTTTTATACTTTCAACGTCCCCCACTGCATTAAAATCCGACCAGTTGTAGTTGAAGGTTGCAATCAGTATCCGTGTTCCAAGTGGCTTGTCGGAAATATAACTTTTGCTTTTGTTTTGTGTTCTGCCGACAGCTCCGAACGCAACACGGTAAGAACTCAACAGACGATTTGATTGGCCAATCCCTCTCACATCACTCAGAATGCAGCAGGTTATGGTGCAGAATATTGAAATGATTTAGTTATTGAAGGGAGATAACTACATAAAAGACCCGTTTATCCTACTCTTCTTTGTCGGAGATTAATATAGTTAAAAAGATAGAATTTCCTGTTTTTCTGTTTGTAGGAAAAGCACATAATTAGAGTACAGAATAAAATTTCTTTCATAACTCAGTTTTAGTTCGTTAATAATTTACAGGTTATTTACAACTGTCCAAAATCGGTAAAAGATAAAAGATAGATGTAAATAGAGTTAGGGTTAGCCCCAGCCCTATTTACATCTCGTGACATATGACGACGATCTCTGCAGTGGCCTTAGCTTGTAGCCCTACCCTTCCTGGTAGATTGAATACAAGAAAAACGACATTTGGAACTATTAAAAACAAAACAAAGCAGGATCTGTGTTTTAATCAGATTGGGTTTACGATGGTTCATGAAACTGAGTTAATAATGTGCAGCAGCACATCGAACACGCTGTGTGATTAACTGCTTCATAAGTATGTTCATTATTAGGAATTGCTAATAACCAATGGGTTTAAATGGGAACAGGGAGACCCACAGATGCACAGTGGACGTGATATATAGAGGTATGTTATAATTCTACTTACTCATTCTATATTGTAGAATGTTCACAGTTCTCCACAAAACATCAACACAGTAAAAACATTTGGAGTTACCTTCTCTATAAAATATAATAACAAGATGATATCAACTTTGTAACCAAATAAATGAAATGGGTTTAACGTGCTACTGGTTGGTCTAGCATAGGGTTCAATTTTGTTTCAATGATTAACCTGCGCGTTGGGAATTTAGCTGTGGGGTGGGGGTGGGGGAATCCATGAGGTTGGACAGGCGATCCTACTCCTTAACACGTACAACCGGGGAATAAAAACAGTTGACTCACTGCCAAGCCTGATTATCTAAAATGCACTTGGAACCGATATCTACTGATATAGAACAGTTGGTTTAATAGTTTTCTCTTGTGTTATGTTCAGACGTTTTAAGGTCATTTCGGGACTATTTCAATAATACCAGGATTGTATTCATGACTTGCATAAGTGACCGACAGTGCATACGGCCGCCACCCAATCTCCAAGACATTACAATCCAATTCATATATATGAGTGTAAGACCGCTTGTCCCAGTCAGGGGGCTTGGGTGGCCGAATGGTTAGCACATGCGCTGTATCATAAGGCCTGCTAAAGACCCCTACGCGCAAGCAAATTATTGAAATAAAATTAAACCATATGTTAGTCCCGAAATGACCTAGTTTGTGTCGAGTGGAGGTTACCCCCCCTCTCTCTCTCTCTCTCTCTCTCTCTCTCTCTCTCTTTGTCAGTCACTAAATACTATATTGAGATTGTGACTATAAGGGAATATTGTTTTAACATCTCGTCAAAAAGGTACTTCTGTCAGTTTCAGACTAACAGACAGTTGTTTTTTTCAGTGAGATGGGAGACATTTATCTTAAACACAGCAGCAAAATCAAGAGGGGGTTTTCTAGGTCCAAACCGCGATCGAACTCGAGACCTATGGTTAGTAAGCCTA